GTAATCCCAGCACTTTGGGAGGCCGAGGCAGGCGGAATAGGAGGTCAGGAGTTCGAGACCAGCCTGACCAACATGGTGAAACCCCGTCTCTACTAAAAATACAAAAATTAGCCAGGCGTGGTGGTACGTGCCTGTAATCACAGCTACTCAGGAGGCTGAGGCAGGAAAATCACTTGAACCTGGGAGACAGAGGTTGCAGTGAGCTGAGATCGTGTCATTGCACTCCAGCCTTGGCAACAAGAGTGAAACTCCATCTCAAAAAAAAAAAAGATGCAGTTGCTCTGGTTCACATGCCTCTGAGACTGGGGCCCCAGGCAAGCCTGGATGGGAGGGATTCCATTCCACACAGCTGTGAAGACTGGGATCCTGAGAGAGGGCGTTCATTGCTGCCAGTCATTTGGAGTCTCCAATGCACCAGGCTGTCTCCAGCTGGACAGTGGTACTCTCTGCCCCCTGCCTCCTGCCTAATTCCCAGTCATCCTTCAGGGCTCAGTGCAGATACCTCCTCCAGGGAGCCTCCCCAGAGAGGGGTGCTCCTGCCCTCCCAGCCTGACCAGTCCCTTTCACTGGCTCCTCCAGCTGCCTCTGTCTCCCCCCATCCTAGCTCAGGCCACACTGTGTCCCTTGTTTCCCCTGCTGGCCTGGGGAACAGAAAACCTAGAAGAGCAAGAGATGAAGGAAGGTGGAGTGAGAGACCCAGGGGCAGGTCTCTGGTGGAGGCCCACAGGGCCCTGCCCTTCCACAGTGGTGATCACCAGGCAGTGGGGGGCTGTAGGGCTGGGCTGGCTGAGACAATGGTGCTCCTGGGGGCTGAGTCCACACTCCAGGCTGAGCTCCAATCACACCTGAACCCAGACTCCGCCTAAGCCCCAACAGCAAGGAAGTAGAGGTTGGTAAATACTTTACTGGGGCATTAAGGAATTCTGATCAATTTAACCACAGCTGCCCTTCCCAGCATGTCCTGTCCCTCAACAGGGACTGGAAATCAATCTCATGGTTTTGTTTTTTTTTTTTTTTTTAATAGACAAAGTCTTTCCCTTTTTCCCCCGCTTGGGGGCAGGGGCCCCGTTCGCAGGTCCCTGCAACCT